CCCCAGCTCGCCTCATGCCCCCCAAAGCCAATCTCTCGCTTTCGCCCTCGACCCCGGGCCTCCTGTCGCCGGGCCTGCTACCCCCGGACCTACTCTAGCCCCGTCCAGCGTTCCATCTCGTACTCTACGCACTGCTACTGTATATAGTGAGCCCTGGGGGCATCACACCCTCCTTGATCCCCTCGACTGCTCTCACTCTCCCTCTCTCCCCCCACTGCAGTCAACTTGCTTCTCAGTCGGGTACCACTGCAAACCGCCCAGCATGAGTGATCCTGTGGATACCAAGTCGCCTGTGGCCGACAAGCCGCAGGAGATCGAGACGGGTGTTGCCCACAATGACTACGACGAGAAGGTCTCCCGTGACAAGTACAAGTCCGACGCCATCGAGGCCGAGGAGGCGGAATACAAGATGGGTGTCATCGAGGCTGTCCGCGCCTACCCCATGGCCAGTCTGTGGGCTTTCACCATGTCCTGCACCATTGTACGTTTTTGCCCTCCCGCGCCCATCTCGTGTAACCTCGCTAACATGGGGCCCCTCTTCAGATCATGGAGTCCTACTGTGTCTTCCTGATGGGCAGTTTCATCGCCCTGCCCTCCTTCCAGAAGGAATTCGGCGTCTACATCAACACCAGCATCGACGGCACCGAGAACTGGGAAATCAGGAGCGCCTGGGCCTCGGCCCTCCAGGCTTCCGGTCCCATCGGCGCCCTCATCGGCGTCACCATCGCCGGCCCTCTCACCAGCCGCATCGGCTACCGCTGGGCCACCATCGTCGGTCTCATGCTCCTCAACGCCTTCATCTTCGTCTTCTACTTCGCCAACTCGCTGCCCATCATGCTGCTGTCCCAGCTTCTCGAGGGCATCCCCTGGGGCATCTTCATCGCCAACTCGCCCGCCTACTGCTCCGAGATTGTGCCCATGCTGTTGCGTGCCCCCCTGCCCGCAAATGCTTCTGATGTTACTGGACCATCGGTGGCCATCAGTCGTGCAGAGAGCTGTTTTTTTTTTTTTTTTTTTT